TTTTTATGACTCTGTAGTTTTATTAGCGTCAGATTCAGTAAAGTTCTTCATCATTGTTACGTACTGTTACAAGTGCAGAGAACTTAATCTCCTATTTTACTCTATGGCTCGTGACAAACAGTACATAACAAAGGAGGATACAATTAATTAAATACAGTAATAAAGAAACGAGACCCAAACAAGGGTTAATTACAAATAATAATTTATTAAGTTAATTTGACAATAGAAAAATCAAAAAGAGTAAAATTAAGGCTATTGGCTTAGAGTTCAGCAATGAACTTGTACCGATACAATGTTGAAAAAGGTACACACACACACACATAGAGTAAAATATTAATATCTGAAGCTTATAAAACTGGAGTCATGAAAACCATTATGAAGAAGAGCTTAACTGAATCTGAAGCTTATAAAACTACAGAGTCATGAAAACCATTATGAAGAAGAACTTAACTGAATCTGAATCTTATAAAACTACAGAGTCATGAAAGCCACTTTGAAGAAGAACTTAACTGAATCTGAAGCTTATAAAACTACAGAGTCATGAAAACCATTATGAAGAAGAACTTAACTGAATCTGAAGCTTATAAAACTACAGAGTCATGAAAACCATTATGAAGAAGAACTTAACTGAATCTGAATCTTATAAAACTACAGAGTCATGGAAGCCACTTTGAAGAAGAACTTAACTGAATCTGAAGCTTATAAAACTACAGAGTCATGAAAACCACTTTGAAGAAGAACTTAACTGAATCTGAAGCTTATAAAACTACAGAGTCATGAAAACCAATTTGAAGAAGAAAAAAAAAAGAGAAACAAATACAAAACAAGGCAGTAAAAATTGGATCCACTTCCATGTTTTTTATGTGAAGATATCAGTTTTAAAATGTCACTTGTTGGTTTAGTGGAAAAAGAAAGGGTAGGGGTGGGCAACTATCTCATTACATAAAGCCACGCAAAGAATGCTGAGCTACTCTCTTGGAAGGAATTCCTTCACGCCACGACTCCCCCCACCCCCACCCCCACCCCCGCCCGTGTATGCCATATTGGACTGCGGCGGACTTTTCTAGTGATAGTTTTAAGTTACAGCAAGGGCGGCCGTAAAGGGGGAAGGGGGGGGGGGAATAAGGACCAAGGTAAGGGAGGGGGGTGGGATGATTCGGTCTTTTGAAGACTGTGATCAGAGTCGGACGAGTCTTGAGTTGTTAAATTTTAAAATGTGACGTCATTTCCTGGATTTGAAAATGAAGTTTAGTATTCTTACAGACTCCAGTTTCATTGGCAAATAAAATGCACTTGGAAAACACAATACATAATGCTTCTTTCTTACAAATCTTCTGTGTCCACAATAGATGCTTACGTTCTTACAAATAATCTCTGTGTCCACGATGGGTGCTGTCTTTCTTACAAGTAATCTTTATATCCACTATGAAGGCTTACTTACTTACAAATAATCTCTATGTGTCCACTATGAATGCTTACTTACTTACAAATAATCTCTATGTGTCCACAATGGATGCTTGCTTTCTTACAAATAATCTCTGTGTCCACGATGGGTGCTGTCTTTCTTACAAGTAATCTTATATCCACTATGAATGCTTACTTACTTACAAATAATCTCTCTGTGTCCACAATGGATGCTTTCTTACTTACAAATAATCAGTCTTTGTCCACACTGGATGCTTACTTTCTTACAAATAATCTCTGTGTCCACAATGGATGCTTACTTACTCACAAATAATCTCTCTTTGTCCACAATGGAGGCTTACTTACTTACAAATAATCTCACTGTTTCCACAATGGATGCTGTCTTTCTTACAAGTAATCTTTATATACACAATGAATGCTTCCTTTTTTTTTTCACAAGTAATCTTGATATCCACAATGGCTGCTTTCTTTCTAACAAATAATCTGTGTGTCCACAATATTTTCCAAATAATCTTCTTCCTAAGGCTTCTGTAGAAAAAAAATATCATTTCCCGCCTTGATAGTTAAATATTTTGCGCGCCCCAAATATGAAGGTGTCGGCAGCCTTCTTTCTAGCGCCCCGCCCCCACTCTCAGATCGGATCCCGGTCCTCAGCCCGGGCTTTGAGTGGTAGTCATAATCGACCAAGCCAGGACCAGGCCAGGCCTCTGTACGCCAGGCACGGTGTAAAGTTACAACCCTGGCCGTAACTACTATTGCAACGAAGTTTGTAGGGCTCAGAAGAGGGTCGGGATTAACAAGGAACTTAAGACGAAATGACGCTATCTGGAGGTCGATCTTGTGTTTGTTTATTTGTTTGTGGGGTAGATTTTCAAGACGCATTGTTGCCTGTGGGGATGAAATCTTAGCTGATCTTGACAATGTAGTTTACTATCTAAATGTTTACACACCGAACTTTTAACATTGGGTATTAGGTTCTGTGCTTAAACAATTTACTCTAATTTAAAACACGAGTATTACATTTCTGTCACAACCACATTTGGCATGGTCATGCTTCCAGGCAAAAGGATAGTTCCTCGAATATTTTATTAACGTCCCTTTACCCCAAAACTTTATTTGTTTGTTTAAGTTTAGAGCATTCAATGGCGTATTTAGAAATGGCTTAGCGCTTCGAAAAAAAATAACTTTTATGCAAAAAATTTCTTTTTTTACAAAGACATTTTTGGTTCACGCATTTTTAGTAAGACTGTGCTTTTTTTGTAAATCACAGAATGATGCACTTGCAAGGATGCTCTAGAACTAGCTGTTCATGTGCACTTTTAAATATACATTGGGATAACTAGGGTAAGTGGCCCCCAGGGTTTGGACACGTCTTTACCAACCCCTTCCACACACAAAAAGTAACTCCTCTGCGCTTGTCGAAAATGCCACCCTACTTCATAAAATGTCTGTCCGCCCCCCGCGCCCGCGCCCCCCCCCTCCGTACCCACAATTCACATGTACATCACAAAAATATATATATTTTGAACTATTGGTAGCAGCAGGTTGTTTCAATATAAAGAACTACATTTGGAACGTTGCATAGAGGACGCCGTTAAGTGCCGTGGTCAAAAGAGGTTTGGACATAAATTTGTTAAGCAGATTTGTCTAGTCCAGGGCCTGACAAGAATGGTGACAACCATCTGAATGACAACTTTGTAACTGTCCATTGCCAAGCTCTGAAAATAGGGGGGGGGGGGTGTGTGTGAGTGTGGAGGCTCAATTTTAGGATTTCGGCCCCCCCCCTCTCCCCGTTTTCAGACATGATTTAGTAAAAGATACGCCACTGAAAGGATATGCACATGTGATGAACATGTCAGAATATCTAGGCCGGACATAAAAATTAGATTTTCGATTTTCTTCAAAAAAAAAAAAAAAAAAAAAAA